AGGAGATAACTTTTGTAAATAAAGACAATCGATAGATGTGGAAAAGTGTTTTAACCTACTTTTGGTGTAAATGTTTCAAACCAAGAATAAGGTGATGTAATCACTAAAATACCATCTTTTTTAAGAATTTGCTTAACATCAGTTAAGAATTTCTTTGGAGTCGGTAATCGACAGATGAGATTTGCTGCATGAACACAATCAAATTGGCCAAGGTCTTTCAGTGGCAAATTACAAGCATCACCATGTTCAAATTGAACGCGATCTTTTTTCTTAAATAAATAAGAATGTACTTTACAAAATGGAAAAGGGCGAGTTCAGGCATGGACGAGTCCAAGGGGGTACCGAGTCTGAGTCCATTTCGAGTCCGGTAATCTGTTAGATTCCTTTTTGATGAGGTTGGTTTATATATTAATTTGCTGAGCCCTGGATAGATATTTGATTTTTCGAAAATACGGTTACGTTCCATGTCGATCTCCCGAACAAAATTTTCAATTTCATGTGAAACAGTAGGTGTTGTTATTTCGCTTTTCATCTTTCTCTGCTCATTTGTGTTAAAAGTTGAATAGATTGGACTCGAAATACAAAAACTCAAGTCCGAGTCCGCCAAAAAATCTTCCAGTCCGGACTCGCCCATGCCTGGACGAGTTACTTACGGCATATTCTGGAACATGTGCAATCGTTTTTTGTCGAATATCACCTTCGACTTGAAAATCATATTTAATTTGAGAATGTTGTTTTAATTTTAAAGCAGCATCAATAAATTTTTGACTATAATCAATGCCTAATACCTGATCAAATTTGACAGATAATTCAAATGACGAACGGCCAACAGCACATCCAATATCCAAAACACGAGTAGGAGCATTATCCTAGAGTGAGAAACACTCGTGTAGGATAATGAAGAAAATTTTTTATTTTATTTTAAAGAATATTTAATACTTTTGGTAATTTGAAATGTTTAATGGCTAATTCAGCTGTTTGTACCGGAAAATTGAGACTATTTGATGAGGTAATACCATCAATTACGCTTGACCATTCAAATAATTCATTCGGTTTACCATAATGGAATAAAAGATATTGTTGAACAAGTTTATCTTGTTCATAAATATTCTCACTTGCTGACATATCAGTTAAATGCAGGTTTATTTTAAGTAGAAACCTGTTTGTATGATTATAGTATAAAGAATGAGTTGTAAGTAAAAAAGCTAACCGCGTGGAGTGTAAGAAAAAGAAAATAAACGAAACGAAGAAAGAAAGAAAATATCAGAACAAGATGGATTTTGTTTTCATTTAAAAGCTTCTTTTGAATTTGATGTATAATATAGTGATGCTAGCGACATTTTTACACCGTTGTCTTAACCCTTTACCAATCAAAGAGGTCACCCAAAGCCCATTCGTAGACTTATTATAAAAAGATAACGAAGCATCAAAAAGTGATGGAAAATAAAATCTTTTTTATCAATCGATAGCTTATGGAATTACCTCGCTTTCAAAAGCAATCCATTTTTTATCATATGCTTCATTACCTTTTTATAACAATTCTACGAATCGGTCATGCGTGGGCTCTTGATGGGTAAAGAGTTTTAAAAAGTTCATTTCAACGTTCGACGAGTGAAAACATTATTGCAAGTATATCAAGTGTAGTTTGATCGATATTTAGAAAATTATCAACATTTGACGCAAAACTGAAGATAATAGTGAATTGCTAGTAGTAGTGAGCTTACCATAATACTCTGAAAGATGAATACTGTCTCGTATTCAGTATTTCGGCGTTTTTCCTGTACAGGGCAAGATTTCATGGTCAACGTCCTGTGTGCCACATAAAACATTTTTTAGAAACGCAAAAAATGTTCATTTGATGAAAGTTTTAAATTAATTTTTTGTCATCGGAAGCAACGAGCTACAAACAACTTTCTTTAATTAATATGCAGGAACATTAATACACATTGTATCCATTGATTGGCTCTTTTGACCTAAATATATATTTGTCATATGTTGTTCATTTACATAGTCATGTAAGCCATTGTTGACACATCAATAAACGTATATGTCAATGAAATGATAGAAAATGAAAATAAACAAATCTGTATTAAATAGAACAAAACATTTAAACATTCTGGTAGAATATGAGTTTTGATCCGCAATACAACATACTGCAGAAACCTGCAAAACTCCGCACAAATTACAAGATTCTTCTGTTTTATATCCTTCGTCATTTCATCTCCTTTCAAAAATTTCACTTCTTTATGAATCCAAACCTTTTATCCAATAATTTACGTTGCTAAAAGAGGCAAAGTGCAACTCTTTTTATACAAGTTCTGTGGCTTTCAAATTCGTCCGATGCCTAAACGGCTAAAGTTGTAGGTTTTGAATTTTTGGTGAAGCGTAGAACAAAAGGTGATGCTTCTAACCCACCCTCAGCAACATTACTCCAATTTGAAAGCTTTTATGTCGCTGACTTGTCTTTAAAGGCGGACAAGTTACGTCACCAGCAGATGGAGAGATCTTATTTTTCACAAACCAATACAATTAAGTGTGCTTAGTTGAGTAATCTAACATTCGAACTTTCTATGCCTTATACTACTTACACATCTCGACGTTTTCTACTCTCAGGTTCTACAGAGCCGTTTAATAACTTTGCGTCCGCTACTGTTGGAGTTGACAGGAAACCGAATATCTGAATGAAAATAACCCAAGGACATGCACTGTATAGTACTCTTAACATAACTAACCTGCGGTTCGATATCATCTAGCGTTGTTCTCGTTAATTGGCCCTCAATCATGTTTTCTGCACCTGATATATTGTATGTCACAGTGGACACGCTGCTTTGAAATGCTATATGAAGAAATATTCAGGGCTTTTTAATTTGTTTAGCTGATTACACTTGAATGTTACCGAATGGATTTTCAGTCGTTGTTGTCGGTACATGCATGTCGCTAGTATTTGGAACTAAATAAAATATTTCAGTTTTGATTAATTTCTAATTAGTTTTGAAGCGCTTATAGATTGGATAACTAATTATTTTCAGCACGCTAAGATTGATTCCATTGATCACACCGTCGACAGAAATTTGTGCAGCGAGTGAAAAAGTAATTTCCCTTAAAGCTGACACAATCGGAGTTTCATTCATTTGACATAGTTGATGGCAATTGAACTGATATATAATTTGAAAAGATATTATTAAATAAAGGTTGTCGTCCGCGCGTTTGAGTCTATAGCTAAAAACATATAAAATGAATAACGCTGATTGCTTGTTGTTTGACAATAAAATACAATCAGAGTTCATACAATCTTCGCTTTCGACCTTGTTGTCCTTTTGGAAAATATCCACAAATTATGTTACGAACGATTTTGTTAGTAAGCTTTTTTAAAATCTATGCAAAACAAAATTAAATAAGAGTTAGCACTAATACTGTAATGTTAGAAAACAGATGAGTATGCGCGTTAGAAACGCATAGGTTTTTTAACTTTTTACCATTCGTCGATAGGCTTGTAATGTTGACGCAAGTAAATATCCTCCTACTATCGGATTATTCGTCGAGTTAATAAACACGGTCCAGTTCATCATCGATATTTGGCTGTAGACAGCTGTAAAAAGTCTATGCAACACATAATTTTTAATGAGCTTAAAGCCTAGCTTACCTAGAGAAGCAACTGAATTTTGTGATAAATACACTGGAATAAGAGAGAGTATCATAGCAACGGTTGCAATAAACTCAATAAGCCCAATGCATAATAAGGGAATAAAACATGATAACAAAGGAATTTTCCCTCTAAAAAGCATAGTCAATCAGAATATTGTCAACGATTTCTAGTCGAATGTAATACCCGTTTCTGTATGGAATGATGGAGCTTCTAGCCAATATATCATACATTTTCTAAACTAAAATACACTGTCAGAAACTTTTACCTCAACATAAAGTGAACATATAGAGTTTCATTCAATAGTTTTTCAACTGAGAAGTCTCTGACTATCTATCTTATAACAACTGAAATATTTTTGTTTATTATCTGCTGGCATTCCACAGACGAAGTGCAAAATTGAATAGTTTTCAATATCCAAGTGAAATTATCATAACTAGATATTGAGTTTTGCCAGTTTAAATCATTTAGTGCCTCTCCACTTTCTTGATGACATGTACGGGTTATATAAGTGTACCGAATATACGAGAATATATGAGAGAAAATTTAAAGAAAGGTAGTGTCGAGCACTGTGGGCGTAGTAAACGCCAGTTCAAGTTTAGAAGGCTTTAGCTTTTCTGTAACGAAACAGTGATTCGAAAACAAAATTTAATTCGAAAATACCTTTACGTATTAAAACAAATACTTTATTGTCATTGATACTGAATGGTACAAATCAAAGTTTTTATTTACTACCCTAGTGAATGTACTCAAGTAGTGAGTACGCAAAAAGTACTCTAATAGAAAAACCGGACGAGTACTCATACGCACTCATACATTTTTTTACTCACTGAAG